TTTGAACATTATGCTTTCTCTTAGTTTGGATTGTCGTTTTCTCTACAGGTGCAGAAAACTATTTTTCTATTCCTGGTGGATAATATGTTAAGTCACTGGTATCTTTGGGTCCTTATGGGTTGCTTTGTTTGTTTATTTATTTTAATTAGGTATATATGACAGAAGAATGCATTTTGATTCATTTTTCACAATTGCAGCACAACTTTACACTTCTCTGGTTGTACATGATGTAGTGACACACCATATGTGCAGTCATACATGTACCTAGGGTAATTATGTCCATCTCATTCCAGCTCCCATGTCACCTCCCCATCCCAACCTCCCCTTTGCCCCAACAAAGTTACTTCATTTTTCCCATCCTCCCCCCCATTATGGATCAGCATCCACTTATCAGAGAGAACATTTGGCCTTTGTTTTTTTTGGATTGGCTTAATTCACTTAGCATGATATTCTCCAACTCCATCCATTTACCTGCAAATGCAATAATTTTATTCTCTTTTAATGCTGAGTAATATTCCATTGTGTATATATACCATAGTTTCTTTATCCATTCATATATTGAAGGGCATCTAGGTTGCTTCCATAGTTTAGCTATTGTGAATTGAACTCCTCTAAACACTGATGTGGCTGCGTTACTATAGTATGCTGATTTTAAGTCCTTTGGGTATAGACTGCCCTTCCTCTTTCATGTGTAATTATCTTATTTGTTCTGGGGGCTCTTCTCTGTTGTTGATGTATGTGTAGATGTTAAGGGGTGGGACCTGAGTTCCTTCTCTTGGGTCCTTGTTTTTGGTTTGGGACTTTTGTCTCTTCACTTCTTTGAGTTGGAGTAATGTCAGGGAATGTTTAGTTCAATAGTAGAGTCTTTAACCTATGAACTTTTAGTGTCCCTTTAGGTTCCCAGAACCTCACAGAATGGGGTGAAATAAACAATAGTAATAATTTTTGTAAACAACAAATAAATAAGAATTTTGGGGTCGGTATTTGTGAATTCTAAGAACAATAACCATGAACTAGACCTGACTTCAAAGCAAAGAGCAGGTGACAACTATAGCATCCATAACGGTAATGATTGAATTAGCATTAATGGTGGGGACAGGAATTACATAGACCAATTAATTCTGAAAGATGGTAAAAATACCCTTATTTAGGAGAAAAGGAAATGTGTTAGGAAGTTAGAATAGACTTTACAATTTCAAAAAGTGAACAGAGAGTTGTAGCACATCATGTTTATATGGAAGGAAGGAAAAAAATAGAAGAAGCAAGGTATTGAGAAACAGGGAGAGGGAGCAATAGCATGTGGCCATTAGTAGGAGAAAATAAGAGGGAAAGAAAAACAAACAAATGAAAATAGTATAAAACCAACCCAAAATATACAATCCTACAAACCCAAACCCTCAAAAGACAATGACAGGGAAAAATAATTAAATTAAAAAATGCTGAAAATGAGAGAAAAAAGAAAGTAAGAAGTGTTATAAGAATATGTTCCTGAACCAGTCAGCACAGCAAGAATTCACATGCTTTCTCACCGCCCCCCCCATAAAATAAAAATAAAATAAATTTTTTCAATCTAAAATCTTAGCATAGAATGAAGGAACCTCTCCACTGAGGTGGTCAAAATAGTGACCAGATTGAGTAGTCACTGTCTATGTATAACAGTCTTTCTTTCTAATTCTTCTTGAGTTCTGTACTGATAGAGCAAGGGGTGGGGGTTGTTAACCTCTTCCTGTTTTTGTGCTGCTCTCTGAGCTGCCAGTTGAAGCAGCCTAAGATCAAAGCTGTTTGCTATAAGACTCAGCTTTTCTTCTCACCAGTATGGGGTGGGATGTACTGTCAATTGGCATTTTGTCCATTTGGACCAATTTGGTGCACTCCTAGGGTACAGCTTCTGCATTGTTCTTTGAGAGAGTTCCAGCAGGTGGTGCTGAGGTCTAATCAGGCCTCAGGAGCTTTGTTTGGTGGAACCATCTTTGGAGAGACTAGATTGACCTGCCCCTAGGACTAGGCAGTAACTGAATTCTTTAGTGGATCTAAAGATCTAAAGTTCTGAAGAGCCTCACAAGAAATCCAATCATGGGGTGTGTGTGTGTGTGTGTGTGTGTGTGTGTGTGTGTATGTGTGTGTTCCTCCTCTTACTGTTTCCTAGGTGCACAGGCTTCCTGGGCTTAGTCCTGAGTGTATTCAACCTCACCCCCATAGACCCTCAGCCCATTTTAGCTGGTTACATGAACCTCCAGACACAAAGGAGAAGTGAGTCAGGCTCCCCTTCGCCTTTCCCATCAAATGCCCCTAGGTGCAGTCTTCTCTACTCCTGTTTCTCTCACTTTCCTTCAGACCCAGCCTGAGTCCCTTATTAGGTGCCTGCCGGGGTATTATGGCTACGTGCATTATTTTCCCCCTGATCTTCTGGAAGAGGATGCAATGAGGTAAATGGGCAAGGCTCTCATGAGCACGCTTTCCAGCAGGGGACGGAAGTATAGGAAATGTTCATTGTGGAGATGGAGGAAGCATTTTCTCACCAATTCAGTGCTTTGGAAAATTCCTTCCAATCCTACTCTTCAAGAGCCAAGGAAAATGAATTGTCAGATCACTCAAAATACCCTCTGACTATATTATTACTCTTTTTCCTTCTTCTTCTTCTTCTTTTTTTTTTTTTTGGTGGGGGGATGAGGTGCATGTCAAAGTCCAAAGCATTAAAGACAATTAACTCTTTTTCTTTCATAACAAGAACCTACAGTTTCTGGTGGCACACTTGCCTCAAGATGGCTCCTGCCTCAGCTTTCAGTGGCCTGTTGAGATACAGAGCACACTTTCCAAGCACTAGTGCACTGTGCAGCCTCTGGATCAGTTAAGATTAGGCAGTATTTCTTTTCATAATATTTTTTCTCATATGCAAACTTTTTAGTTGTAAATGGGCACAATACCTTTTATTTATTTGTTTTTGTGTGGTGCTGAGGATTGAACCCCGTGCCTCCCACATGCAAGGCAATTGCACACCACTGAGCTATAAGCGCAGCCCCTAGGCAGCATTTTTGATCTCGGGTTTCTCCATACCAAGAATATGATCCCCCTCCCTTTGTCTGTGGTGAATCTGCACTGGTGGTTGTGTGGTAGGCTCCAGTGTATTCTTTCTTCTTTGTTTATTGTACCAATTTCTGAGTCCCTAAGCTGCTTTGAGTATCCAATATTATAATTTAGTAAAATCCCTCTTTCAACCACCTTGCTGAGAAGCTGTACACTCACTGCTTTGGTTTTATACCATGGTGCAGTTTGGGATGCAGCCTTCTTTTAACCATGTCATCTTTCTAGAATCTAACCATTTCTTTATTGATGAAAGTTATTTCTAATTTTTGCTAATTTGGGATAATGCTTTTATTCTCTACATAAAATTTTATGTACTAGTACTTTTTTTTTTGTATTTTTCTAGAATTGGAATTGCTAGTTCAAAATGCTTGTGAACTTTTCTCAGGTACTTTCCAGATTCCTTTCCCTGGGGTTGTGGCACCCTCACTTCCCCACAGCCATTATTCCTTTAATATTTTTCTCTGATTCCCTCTCGCTTACTTCCTTTTGGAGAATTTCACTTATATATTAGGCAACTATGAAATTGTCTCACAGCTCTTTGATGTTCTGTTCTTTTTTTCTTTCTTACTTCCCTTTTCTATCTGTATTTTATTTTGGGTGGTTTCTGTTGCTGTGTCTTCAAGTTTACTGATTTTTGGTTTAGCAATGTCTAAGCTGTTTTTATACCAGCCATTTATTTTTCTCAGACATTGCAACCTTCATTTCTGTAAGCTTGATTTGTTTGCATGCTTTTTATAGTTTGAATATAAAAAATACATTCTGCTTGACTTTTTGAATGTTGGGAGTACAATTACAATAATGAATTTGATGCCCTCTCTGTTAATTTTAACACCTACTCTGGGTCTCTTTTGATTAGTTGTTTTATCTCCTCATTATGGATCATATTTTCATGTTTATTTGCATGACTGATAATTTTTGATTAGATGTCACCCTTGGGATATTTACCCATTATGTCAGTTGGGTGCTAGACAGTTTTATATTCCTATAAATACTTTTTGGCTTTGCTCTGGGACACAGTTAAATTACTTGGAGATAGTTTTTTGGGGTCTTGCTTTTTAGATTTGTTAGGTAGTACTAGAGCAATACCAATAAAGAGCTATTTTTTTCCCACTCCTGCGGCAAGATCCTTCCGTTTTCCCAGTGTCCTATGAATCTTGAGCTTTGACAGTCTTGACTAATGGAACAGACAGTATTTCTGACCCTGTGTAAGTGCTGGGCACTGTTCCCTCTAATTTTTTTGATTGTATTTTTCCTCAACCTTACACAAATGCACAGATTACTACTGGTCTGGAATATTCTACAGGATCCCTTTATAGACATCTAGAATTTTCTCTCCATGCACGTCACATGTCTCAAATACTTTGTCCTCTGAGCTCTAGCTGCCTTGGTCTCCTCTCTTAGCTCTTTTCTCTGCTCAGGGACAGGGTGGGCTCCTTTTGGTTTTCTCCTACTTACAAAAGAGCCTGTACACTCAAGGATGTAAGCTGGGGAAGTTGAAGGGCTCATCCTGTTTGTTTCTCATTTATCAGGGAGAGTTCCTGTTACTCTGTCTTGGTCAGAAGGAGCAGTTTTAGATATGAAAGGTTACAGAACAGCTAGTCCCTTTGTATATATGTGAAAACTACTGAGATGTTCGGTGAAAATCATCACGATGTGAGACAGTTATTTTATTTATTAAATAGTCCCTTTTCAAATTAGCATTTTTGTGTACTTTATCCCAAATTTGAAATAATTGGATTTAATGTTAATCATTGGACATAACTGTCATATAACATTTATTGTCACACACATTATTTTTCTGTCTTTTTAAAATAATCTTCGTTATAAAACAGTTATCTTTTGAATTGGATTTTATATAGTTAAAGAAAACTATGAATTACAGTATCATTTTTTGTGTTTCTTCTTATTTTCTTCAGAGACTGCAAAAAAGACATTTCAAGAAAAAGGCATCCTGGCAGGAGAAAGCAGAAGCTTTAAACCTCATCTAACTTTTATGAAATTGTCAAAAGCACCATGGCTTCGTAAGAATGTGAGTACACATGTTTACTATGAGTCTTGTTTTACCAGGCCACATGAGCCCTCGTCATGGCTGGGGCATGGGTGACATTTGTAGTGGGTTTTTTTTGACGCCCTACCACTAGTGCTTGGGATTCCAGGTTGTTTTAGTTTCCAAGGATGCTGAGGATGCTCACGGTCCTCCGTGGAGGCTGTTACAGCTGTGCCCTCATTTGCCTTGATGGCTGTTCGGTTCATACTCTGATCATGATTTTCTCCTGCTGCTTCTGTTGCCACAAGTAGTTCATCCCTGGAGGAGTTTCGAGCTGTGCTGCTTTCTTGCTTGTGTTTTTTTGCATCCTACTGCTCTCAGGGCTTCCTTGCTGGCCTGCATATACTGTGCTGCTCATTGCAACTGGCTTCTTCAAGACGGGGAATCTTTTTTTACCCTCCTTGTGTAGGTCACTCAAGGTTTACAAAAAAACCACCTTGCTCTGGAGAAGATGCCTCCATTAAGGGTCTGGAGGAAGAGTATCAGAGGCTGGGCAATCCAATAACCAAAGGACTCTCCCTCCTTGAGGTATCTATAAGTATTTCTCCCTAAGGACGGCAGCAGTGACATGCTAAGGCACATGTCTTTTGACTTCCTCTAGCTGGATAATTTTCTGCCTTTCCATGCTGTGCCCTCTTCCTTCAGAGGTTGGAACAGTTTTTGACTTTCTTCTGGATTCATGGGTATTTCTCCTAGAATCCTAAGGGAGCCTGCCCTTATTTTTCCCATTTCAGCCTAAAGGATTCCTTATGCAGATTCAGACATCTGATGTCCTGCACTGATATGTCAGAGTCTTGGGAATGGTAATGCAGATTAATAGCCCTCTGCTCACCATGACCCTTGCTGCACTTAAGACTTATTTGCAGCTCTGTAAATGAAGGTCATACTTACTAGTAAGTAGAACTTTTTTTTTTTTCTCTAAATTTAGCACATTTTGTATTTAATGTCTGTCCTTGGAAAGTTTTATGATCTTTTAAATCATGAGTTTGGGTGATTCACTATCCTGCAATTATAGGTTTTTTACAAACTATTTGTTAAAGATATTCTTAAAAGATATCTTGCATGTTATTTATAATTATGCTACAAATTCAATAATATCTTTATTATATACTATTCCAGAATATGTTAGGTAAAAATAATATGTGTAAATTATAGATTTTGAAATCTGGAATTACAGCTTACAAAACTTGTAGACTAAAAGTTTACCTCTTTACTCGTTATCTTTCTCATTTTGCTTTCAAATGGATTGTCCTCTTCCAAGTGGTTTCACAATTAATCACAGAATGACAAATCAGTGGTGAAGGTAATATCCCCATTTCAAAATTTTTCTTTGTCTGTACAATATTAACTTTGAAATGAGAACATTCAAGGACATTTATCAAAGGAATGTTTACTCCAGAATCCATATTTCAGACTATACTTAAATTATTTCTTGGCAGTTTCACAGAGTTAACTCCATTGCTCTATAGAGAATGGATATGACTTAGAAAGGTTAATTGTCTTAAATAAGTTTACATTCTTATTACAGAGTCTTGTTTATGCATTTAAGAATTCATCTATCTTGGGCTGCGGATGTGGCTCAAGCGGTAGCGCGCTCGCCTGGCATGTGCGGGGCGCTGGGTTCGATCCTCAACACCACATAAAAAAATAAAAAAATAAAGATATTGTGTCCACCTAAAACTAAAAAATAAATATAAAAAAAAAGAATTCATCTATTCATGCTCTGTTATATGTTCTTCCTTTCCCCTGGCTAACTTCAGGAAGTTGCCAGAATCACGACTCTTATGCTTTTGGGCCATCATTCAGAAAATATGGGTTACTTGAATACAAGCACAGCAGTACTGTGGTGTTTGATCTGGTTCCTGAGATGGGTAATGAGTGGTAGTAGGGTGGTAGTGTGTGCGGAATGGATGTGCTGGGGAAAGGGATGATGTGTGTCTTGGATGGGATAGGGAGGGACAGCACAGGAGTTCATCACACTACTTACAGTGTACAAGTTAATACTTAGAAACTATCTGTTTCAGTAATTTATCATTTAATATCTTTAAACCATGATTCACCATATGTAACTGAAGCAGCAGATAAAGGGGGACTGCTGTATGATTTTATCATTTTTCAGAAAGCCAAATTAGATTTTTTTCTTTTAACATATGGAATGACTATTTCAATCACTATTAAGATATTCTGTGTTCTGAAGGGAATAGATCTTGAATTTTGGGATATATGAGTCATCTGGAGTACTTGTGGAAGCTGCAAAATTCTATTCTTTACCCTTAGATATGGAAGTGAACCTTGTTCAATAGGTGACATATGTGATTCTGATCCAGATGGTTTGCAGAGTACTATACCCTAAGTGTACTTTGAAACCAGGCTGAAATATATATATGGCAATGTTTTTATTTTTGCAATGCTGAGCATTGAACCCTGGACCTTGTGTATGCTAGGCAAACACTTTACCACTGAGCTACATCCCTAGCTCCCAGCATTTTTTTAGGTAGCAGATCCATTATGAAAGTTAGAACCAATAAGTAAAGGTAGTGACGGTAGCATACATACATAGATTTTATTTATTATCATTTGCAGATCAGGAATGTAGGTAGATTGCTTGAAAATACATTGCTCTTTAGTCTCTTTCTTCTTAACCTTTTGCACATTTTCAACTGTTTCCTCTCTATATACTAATTTTCTTTCAGGTTTTTATTTTGGGTCCACTCACTTCAAGTGAGTGCCATTAATTAAGATAGTAATGGAACTTGCATTATTCAGGGTTCTCCAGAGAAATAGAAATGAGGGGGATTTATTAGGGGAATTGGTTTATGTAATTATGGAGGCTGAGAAATCTCACGATAGGTCAGCTGTAAGTTGGAGACTCTGGGATGCTGATTGTGTGACTCAATCCAAGTTGGAAAGCCTCAGAACCAGGAAAGTTGATGGTGTGATGCCCAGTCTGAGGTTTCAGGAGTGAGAAACACTCACACAGGGGGCTGCTGGTGTAAGTCCTGGAGTCTATGTCAGTAGAATTTTTTCTTTTAGTGCTGGAGATGGAACCCAGGGCCATGAGCATGCTAAGCAGGTGCTCTACCACTAAGTTAAATTCCTAGCCCAGGTATGGAATCCAAAGGCTAGAGTGCCTGGAGTTCTATGGCCATGGGCAGGAGAGGGAGAGTATATCCGAGCTCAGGAGAGAGATCAACACATTTGCCTTTTCTGTTTCTGTTCTTTCTGAGGCCCTCGTTGTCTGGATGGTTTCCACTTACATGGAGGGTTGATCTCCCCCCGCCCCCCAATTTACTCAGACTCAGATGCAGATTACCTCCAGAAACACTCTAACACTCTCACCCTCCCCCACATAATGCTTTACCAGGTTCTAGGTTTTTCTTTAATCCAATCAAATTGAGCCTAAAATTAGCCATCATAGAATGTATTACTAGCTTCTTTCAGTGTTATTTAGATTGATAATAAAATAAGAGGTGGAGGAGGTGAAATAATTGTTTTCCCCCCATTTATAAATTGAATTTAACTCGAGTACTTTATTTTTTTATTTTAAATGTTATTTTTATTATAAAGGTATTATCTGAATATATATGCCCACTACAGACAATTCAAATAATACAAGTTATTAAAATGAAAATAATAAAACTGCATCATAGTTATGTTTATCATAATTTAAACTTTTTCCCCTTAATGAATAATTATGTTGGTTTCTGTTTCTCAGATACCACAAACAATGATTTCTGTTTTTGTGGTTCTGGGGGTTGAACCCAGGGCTTCTTAAATGCTAGGCAAGCACTTTACTACTGAGTTACAGCTCTGGCCCTGAACATCCTTGTCCACCTTTCTTTGGGTAGATATGCCACTTGTTCAAAGAACCAATTCCTTGAAGTGGGATTATGAAAGTAGAGGGTATTTTATATTATAACTTCTAAAACATCACAATTGCCTTTTAAAATAATGATGCCAGTATATGCTCCCAACTGTAATGTATGAGAGTAAACTTTGTTGGGATAAATTTGTAGTAGAACTATCAAAGATTATGACTAGTGACTTACAGAATTTGAATGGCCTTTTGAACTGTGAATTATGCTCCGACATTGAAAAACAGTAAAAATTGTATATTCTTTTACTAAGATGTCATTGTTGCTGATATTATTCTAAAGAAATAATTTTAAAGAGGAAGTTCTTTATGCATAATGAGGTTTATTGAAGGATTATCAATAATACAGAAAAATTAGAAATAACTTCTGTAACAGAATGTTTACGTCATTTATGATAAACATATCAATGACTTAAGCAGCTGTTAAGGATTGCAACAGTTTTTAAAAAGGTAAATAAAATGTACAATATGTAATTAAAGTTTTAAAAATTAGTTTGTGTGTGTGTGTGTGTGTGTGTGTGTGTGTGTGGTACTGGAGATTGAACCCAGGGTGTAGTACCACTGAGCTGACGCCTCACTCCCTAGTTCCTTTAGCTTCTGGTATACAGGGGTGGTACATAGTGGGATGTCTGTAAAAGAGCTGAATAAGCTCTCCCTTTAAAATGCTCCCTTTTGAAGATTGGTGCCAGTTGCTCTGTTCTTTGTATTTGATTTTTCATGAGGACATCTGAAAATACTTTTGGGTACCATACTGGAGTATTCCTGAGATGCTGGTGGTACTGTTGTGGGGGCAGACATGATCTAATTATTGGTTTAAAAGCAGTGTGCTAGGGAAAGAGTGCTGTGGATTAGTGTAGGCAGGTTGCTAGACAGCAAGGTAGATGGTCCGTCCTTATTGTCTGTAGGAGGTGTAATGAGGTAGTCTCTATTAGTACCTAAACTGAAGTTTTTTCCCCCCATCATCTAGTAATTTTTATTTTTTAATGATCTGAAAAGCTATTTTTTAAAAGACAGACTCAAGGTTGTAGCCATAATTAGTCTGTTTAAGGTCAAACATCTCGTTAACCTCAAAAATATGGACAGAGGTCTGGTGCAGGCCATGTACTGT